CACGGACACAGACACAGTAACATGAAATAGAATCTACTGAATAGATGATACCTAAATTTTGAAGGAATATATATATATATATATAAATAATATTTATACTTTTCAGATTTGTGTATAGTATATATTTTGTATAATTTGGGGGAAATGAAGGCTTTATCAGGACTATGATGATGTTAAAGTGTTGTGTGGCTGCAGGATCTTGCTCATCCCATCGGCTCTCAGTTCAGCAGCTCTTCTCCGATGACCATCGACGTCCCGCTGAGCGACATGAACCCCGGCCTGCTGGGACACAACCAGCTGACCACCATCGACCAATCAGAGCTCAGCGCGCAGCTGGGCCTCAGCACCATCCTGCCCCGCCCACAGTCACCTGCCCAGCCGCTGTCCTCTGATTCGCTGCAGGACGACGACATGGACGACTTCAGACGGGTGCGTCTGCTTATTCACTTGCTGTCTGTCTGATAGAACACGCCTTTACCAAGATTGGACAAAATCCAGGACCTAAGAATATATTCCCTTTCAATGTTTTTATCAGGGTTTTATGGAACGTTCTTTTCAGGAATTCTAATTATTCGTAGGTTTTGTCTTTAGAACATACTTAGGAAACGTTTTTTGGCAAAGCTTTTTAAAGAAGGTTTAAATAAAGTTATTAATAAAAAAAAAAAAATTTAAATGTCCGTAAGTGTAATAAAAATTTTTCTCAATACTTTTTTTTTTTTAAGTTTTTAATTCATGTTTTTTTTAATAATTGTAAAAAAAAATTGTAAAAAGTGTAATACATTTTTTTTCTCAAGTACATTTTTTAAAAGTTTTTAATTTAAAAAATGTTTTTATCATTGTAAAAAAAAATGTAAAAAATAATTGTATCGTAAATCGTAAATTATAAAAAATCGTAAATTGTAAAAAATTGTAAAAAATTTAATTTTTTTTCTCAAGTACATTTTTTTAAAAGAAGAAAATGTAAGATTTAAGACACATTGGAGACTAACTTTAAATTTAAGAGGTTATTTACAATGATTAAGAACATTTCTTTTTTTAAGAATTCAAATTATTCTTTAAATTTTGTCTTTAGACTGGTTAATAACACATTTTTCTGAGTTGTGACAAACTCAGAACACACATGTAATATTGCTTCACATGGACTTTAACAAAACTGACTCAGTTCCTTCAAAACCATTTGCTTGTAAAACGTTCAATTTGTATCATTTCCACAAAGGCTTGAGTATACAA